ATTCTAAGTTATTTCTGAACCTATCCTGAAACATTTAATTACATTAATTAATTAATTAATTAATTGGATCCCAGGAACAACTACCAAAATCTAATTGAATTCTCATAAGTTAGCGCCATTCTGACCTATCCTAGAAAATTTTATGACAATCCGTCCATAACTTTTTTAGGTTAAGGCATGTACACAATACAAACAAACGCACAAACCCACAAACCAACACCACACACGGCCGGTGAAAACATAACCTCTCCATGCCAACCCTCTTGTCGAGGTAATTATAATGAAGGAATAACATGCGAGCATAAAGTAGGCAACTATAGCGCCTTATACTTAATGAATTCAACGGGAGTATCAACGAGTTGAAAATTAATTGCTTATAGGAAGATGGCTAATTCTAGTTTAGATTAGCAAATACGCAAACAAGAAGAAACAAGAATGTATAAACAAATCAATATTACCCTGACACTGCGCTCTAAGCTGTTATTATCTCCCTATTTCGTACTTCTACGTCCAGCAGAATCAAGGTACGGTAAAGCGCTACTCGTATACTACTGTACATAACGCATGAACATAACGCAACTGTATATAACGCATAAAGCTTTAGCACGTACGTAAGCATGCTACTGTAGCATGCTACTGTAGAACGTACGTAAGCACGTACTGTATACTACTGTACATAACGCATGAACATAACGCAACTGTACATAACGCATAAAGCTTTAGCACGTACGTAAGCACCCACGCATAAGCAAGTACGTAAGCTTTGAAGTATCAAAACACTTCCCACTATCCTACAGTTCCAGAGTGTTTGGGCTTTAGCACAACAAAATTATGTCATCGCGGCAGCCGCGGTAAACCTAATAATTCGCATAATGGAATTGCAATAAGGGAACCAAGATGCATATACGACGGGAACTAAAGGCGGTGGAACTAGTAAATGGCGGAGGATTAGTAACAAGGAAGCTTCTGCGTCTTCTCTGGGTGTCTAATCATGTCTACGTGCGCGCGGGCAGGGAGAGTAGGGCGTGAGCTAGCAAGCTGAGATATAGAGCCGCATCCTATAATGATGCCGCTATTCGTTCATTCACGCGTGTTTCATTCACCGCCTACTACCTACACCCACACCTCCAGCCGTGACGTCACTCTGACGTCAACAGCCCGATGATGATGCGGTGTTTTATTGATCAGAACAGCAAGGATTCTGCCGACAGTACTGTCAAATAAGGCAGGTAGCACAGACTCACGTTGTTAACTGGGTGATTCTGAGGTTAGGGGGCAAATTGCTGGGGGGCAATTCTTCAATGATTTGTTGGTCTCGGAATGGCCTGTCCTAACCCATTGGTAGCCAATTTTCCACCAATGATTTAAAGCTGTTGTCATCATTCAGGGATGGGAAATCTAGTTTGGGTGGGGTTGCTATTGTTTCAACTGTAATTCAGTAAAGTTTCATGCGCCTGTGACCATAAGTGTAAGAGGGGTGAACCTCAGACCTATTGTCCTGAATTTTTATCAACTCCGTTACGTGCTGCCATCTATTCATAGACAATGGTGTTACCCAATGACCAATCAGATCCAATCAGACCAAATCAGACCAAATCAGACCAATCAGACCAATCAGACCAACCAGCATCACATTTCAATTGAAAAATTTGCCAAAAATAAATGCGTACTTAAAGGCATTCATCACCTCTGTTACGCAAATTGTATGATAAGTAACCATAGAAACCAAACATCATAAATTGAGGAAGACAGGCATATTGACCTCTTGAATAAAACATATTATTTGCATCTTGCCCTTGCTCCATGTGGAACCAACAAGGTCAAACATGACAAAATTATCAACTCCGTTACATCAACTCCGTTACAAAATTGTAACGGAGTTGATGTATAGGCCCTTATAAAGGTATACAAAAAAGTAAAAAAATGAAAAAGTGTAATAATCTTTGTGGTTTCAGGGCCACGGTGTTACAAATTTTGGAAAAATTCCAAAAATATGCCAAAAGGATGATAAAAAAAATTCAGTCATTTAAAACTGCAATTTGCCCCCTAACCTCAGAATCACCCAACTACATACAGAGTAAACCTTTGTTAGCGAGAACATGTATTAAAAATATAAAGCCAGTCTATAAAGCACGCTGGGGGCGTCTCCCTAAAGCGGCAGTTATACATTGAAACCCCGTCTATAGAACTATGTCTATATATAATTATATATATATATATATATATATATATATATATATATATATATATATATATATATATATATATATATATATATATATATATATATATATAGACACCTGACCTGTCTATAAAGGTCAGTTTTGGAATTCTCTTGATTGGCCGTTACATACACGGCTGGCTGTACACGATTGTTATCATTAGGCGTTCCTGCCATCACCTTATTGTGACACACGCACACATACGCACCCACACAAACGCACACGTACGCACGCATACGCAGCACAGACACGCACGCACACGCACGCACGCATACGTACGCACGCACACGCACGCACGCACACGTACGCACGCACACGCACGCACGTACACGTACGCATACACGCACACGCATGCACACACACACACACACGCGCACACGTACGCACGCAAACGTACACACACGCACGCACGCATACACACCCAGCCACTGCCCAGCCACCCCCACACGCGTACACACACGAAACACATAGAGAGAGATCTGATCCACTAGAGACTATAGATAATGACTGGATGCGACTGAAAAGTAATATACCTGAACGATGACCTAGCGGTTCTGATAGAACCAGTTCTTCACGTCACAGCACTGGCCGTAAATCAGTGCGAGTTGCAGCAAACTCTGTGGAGAAACACTCTACTATAAAGAGTAAACATTATAACAGTATCTATTGCGAAGATGTGGGAACACTGAAAATCACGTGTAGAATCCAAGAAAAAACAATGGGTAATACCACCGCACTATCCGCGGCTCCTATATATGATGGGTTGAGCAAACAATGACGGGGATATACAAGACCGCGATGTTATCGGGGTTTCATCCTAGGCTTCGAATAACATTATGACAATTTTATAGCTAGTGACCACCTAGTTACAACTGGTATACTTGTAAGAGTTTTGAATATATGTATATACGTATTGTAATATATGTATTGTAATATTCATATACATATAGATCTTTTCGCATTTCATCCAATGTTATTTCTAACGTCATTTTTGCACAGTCATCAGCACACCGTCAAAATCATCGTTAACGATACATCCATGCCACCTAAATAAACTAAAATGAACAGCGCCTCGTTACGTAACCTCGATCCTTGAATAATGTATCCTTGAAAATGATAACTACCTGCATCCCTTCTCCTCCCCTCACTCCCCTCATCGCTCCTCGCCCATTCCTTCCCTTCTTCATATGTACGGGTACAGACCTCACCCTGCTCACACGCGCATAGAAGAATCTATGCGTATATGTGTGTAATACAGGAAACAAGCAGAGGCACGGCTTGTGCTGCTGATACAAGGTTCGCGGAGTTCAAGTAACGTCCAGCACTCTTATCTTGACCCACAAACTTCAGCTAACTGACCGTTCAGGTGCACACACCCATCCTCTCCATCCATCTCTATATCTCTCGCTCCCTCGCTCTCGATCCCTCGCTCTCGCTGTCGCTCTATCCCTGTATCTCTTGATCTATATATCTCTGTCTATCGCGATCTCTCTTCTCCCTTTCTTGCGTGCTCTCTCTCTCTCTTTCTCGCCCTCTCTCGATCTTTATCTCTATCTCTATTACTGTCTGTCTGTCTGTCTGTCTGTCTGTCTGTCTGTCTGTCTCTAGCTCCCTCTAGCTCTCTCTCTCTCTCTCTCTCTCTCTCTCTCTCTCTCTCTCTCTCTCTCATCTCTCTCTCTCTACTCCTCTCTCTTCTCTCTCTCTCTCTCTCTCCTCTCTCTCTCTCTCTCTCTCTCTCTTTACCTTCTCCTTTTCTTATTCTTCCATCTTTCTTTCTTTGTTTTTATCCTAATTTCTTTGTCGCTCGGTCTTTCTTATTTCCTTCACTCGCACTTTATTCCTCTTCTCTCTCATTTTCTCTATCTATTTCATTCTCCCCCTCTCCCTTATTCTTCTCTGTCCCTGCCCCGTCTGTTCATCAGTCCATCTATACACCTAATTTAACGTGATGTATTCTCACACTGCTATCGACGTGTCGTGATTGCTGCTGGCAGATGGGTGAACAGCAAGCATGCCAGCAATGTGAAGGCTGGGGTAGTCTGCATGTTTGCTTAGCTACAGAACAAAGCCGCTACAAATTCATTCATGTATGAGAGAGAGAGAGAGACACGGCGAGCGAACTGTTGCTGTGTCATTACGTCACTGCTGCTGGAATGTGTCACAACGACCTTGACACGCCGCCCGCCGCATTACATGTGCTCGGAATTTATGCAGATAGGTGGATAGTTGGCGAAGAGGAATGCGGAGTACAACGGTAAAACTCTCATTCATGCACATCAGAAGTAAAATCACATCCCAGTTGTGTTTGTGAATAAATTGTACGAACAGATATATAATTACTATGAACTGATGTAACACTAGGCGCTCTAGTCTCTCGTCACTGAGACGATTTGACTAGTCCCATTCCGCTACTAATATTACAATATTTCAGCGCACACTGGGATATGACCATTCTAATGTACACACGCACGAACATGAAGTCGCATACATTGTTTCAAGAGCTAATAAATTCGCGGAGATCGGGCGATAAAAATCGCTCGTGTGCCCCTACCTTTAGCTCTTGATTGTTTGATAATAAATATTATATAATCACTACAAGAGGACATAACAATAGTTTAAAGCCTCCGCGTTACCATAGTAACTGTTAACATTAGCGTGCCAAACTATATGTCATAATCCAATACTAAAAACATTGAAATTACTATCTGCGCGTTTACAATATAATCTAATATATACATATTACAATATATACAATATAAAAACCTTGTGTAATATTACCTGTATAACATCAGCTGTTGCTATTATTGATATATGAGCGCGAACACAAGCCTTCCTTTCAGTTCCTATGTGCGTCTACCGTATGTAACGCTCTGTCACGTATATATGTTATGTTTATATATATGAGTTAAGTCGTCACTGCCGGCCCACAACGGTGCAACGACATCGAAAATTGTTAGCACTTTCTATCGCGTGCAAGCAGCACGCAAACACACACGTGAACGCACGCACTGACCGATCACAAGCAGTGCTATATCACGAGCATGCTTGTATCAGAGCCTGTCTATATAATCCCACCACGCACAACAAACGCCGTACTAGACGTTTCCGTCGCTGCTCGCTCTCTGTAAAGTATAAGCTGGTTTGCTTAGAATTTTTCCACAAGACTGCCCCGCGGAATCATGTACAATGACCCCTGTAGACAGACCCCGTCGTGCGTGTTAGACCGTTAGAGCGAGCGCTGGTCAACCCACTGCTCTCGGCTAGCTCCGCGTGAACTCACCGCAGCAGCAGCAACAGCAACAGCAGGCAGTAGTGGGGCGGCGTGGCGGCGGCGGTAGCAGCGTATACATGCCATCACTTCCTACTAGGTCCGAAACTAAACTCTAGAAAACAGCCAGCTAGTTCTCGAACATATACACGTATTCAAGAGCGTATTAAGAAGGAATACGCTCTTGATTACGCACCTGATACGCTCTTGATACGCAACTTCTTAATACGCTCTTGATGTATTCTATTATTGCTTTAGGTGTATGTGCATGTGTGCACGTATCTGTGTATGAAGGAATCTGTTCGTCCGTCCGTCCGTCTATCTATGTATGTCTGTCTGTATGCGTGTTTGCCTGTCTGTCTGTCTGTTTACAAAACGTACGTGTTTGTATGTACGTATATGTATGAATAAAACGTATCTGGGAGTATGTATAATTATGGCGATTTTCTAGGACCTCACAAATACGTTAGTTTTGTCACAAATAATACGCCGTTTCAATTATATCACCACGCATAAATATCTGGAACGTGTTTATATTTAAATGTTAATTTAAATGTGCGTTTATTTACGAGTCATGTAAGTTTGGATTTTGCTCACGGTCACACTAGCACGATATGCCATCAGGAATTCCCTCCTTTCGAATCCTCGTCGGTCGAGGTGTTTAGTCGCATGTGGAACGAATCTTTACAGTCTATATAGTAGAAATCCGTCACGAGGTTCAACCGCTGGGCGGGAAACTGATTTCGCGGATCCTTCCCGCGATGGATTCACGCTCAGCGCGAGTCAGTGCGGGAACGTTACCGTCTATATAAGCGGCGTCTACACTATGCTAAAACCCGGGTTTACCGCATCTACACTGTTGCTAAAACGCGGGTTTTAGAGGTGGGTTTTGTAAAAACGCGGGTTTTACAGACCCGGCAATATTGCCGGGTTTTGCTCTGCTAAAACCCGCGTTTTAGTCAAGCGCCGTAGTGTAGATAGAACATGACAGAAAACCCGCGTTTTAGCTATGTATCCCACCACTCAGTACTAGATGGGTGCATTCACGGAAGGTGGGTTTTTGACAGTGTAGACGCTGCACCACCGAAAACGGACGTTTTACTAAAACGCGGGTTTTAAAAACCCGGGTTTTAGTCTATAGTGTAGACGCCGCTTATATATATATATATATATATATATA